GTAAGTTCTGGAAATTTTTGCATAGTTAGATGTATCTCCAATCCTACCTTCACCTTCTACAGAGTCTCAGGACAGCAACAGATAAGAACTGTGGGAAACCACCTACGTGTCCATCTTCAAGAGGATCACCCAGAACAAGTATAATATTTTTATCTAGGAACAATTTTCCAGTGTCAGTTCATGGTTTCCTTTCTTCCTTTTTCCTTTCTTCTTTTTCTTTTCCTGTTTCCATCTTCCTTCCCCACTTTCTTCCTTTTCTTTCTAACTTAAAATTATATTCTGAGATTTCTACAAAAATGAACATATTGCAGGCAACTAAGTAAGATTGATGAAGATCTATTGCTTTTGAAATTCCACATTTTTTTAGACACTTCAGTTTGTTACCAGGAATCAAACTCAGGTCCCTGCACTTGCCAGGCAGGCACTGCGCCTCTGAGCTACATTCCTATCTAGACACTTCAGTTTGCACCTCATCAAAATTCATAATGCTGGACTTCCTTTAAACTCATTCTCCTTTCCCAAAGTTCCAGATTTACAAAAAAATTAGGAGAAAGTCATAGTCTCCAGGTTTTTGTCACCATCAAAACAAAATAGGCATCAGTGTCAATGGAAGCACTAACACCTGCATAATAATTCAAAAAGTCTTCTTCCGAAACCTGAAGGAAGAAAGAAAAAAATGATGTCAAATATGGGAGCTATAGTGGAACACTTCCACTCTCGCTGAGCTACTTCTTGAAGTGCTATTCACAACTGGTAATGAACAAGGGTTGAACCAGTCAGGGAGAGTTTGAATTGTCTTTCTCCTCTGACGTGACTTTCTAAGATAGGGTATTTGCAAAGATGGTCCTAATTGTATCATACCTGCTCATGGCCAGTTATGAGATAACTTGCTATAAGATAAGGTCTCTAGATCTCTATGTACTACACAATAAGACAGTCATTGGCCAGTTGTGGCTATCTAAGCTTATACTAATTAAAATTAGGCAAAGTTCAGTTCCTCCGTTGCACTAACCATATTTCATCTGCTCATTAGCCATATGTGGCTAGTGGCTACCATACTGCAGAGCAAAAATACAAAATATGTTCATCCTCACAGCAAGTTTTATGGGACAGCACAGCTCCAGAGTGTGTACTCTCTGATCAAATTTCTGACTGTTATCAATGCAGTCACCCTTGTGTTCCCGTGAGTTCTTCCTATGTGGGTTCACCCATTTCCAAATGAAGTTATTCAGAAGAACACATCTTGCGTTCATTTCCTAAAGACAAATACTACTTACATTTTATGAAGTATGTGTCATTTAGAGATGATTTTAAAGCATATGAGAGGATTCACATAAGTTATATGCAAAAGTTATGCCATTCTATATAACAGACTTGAAATTCAAGAATCTTGTTAGCTGTGGCAAGTCCTGAAAGGAAATTTCTGTTGATAAGAAAGAGGGATCACTGTACTTTACAGTAGAAAAATTTATAGCATAAATGTACAGATAAAAATCACCTTATAGGGAAAACACTGAGATGGAGAGGAAGACAACACAGAGAGAGAGAGTAATTTACAGGTTCCTTGGGTGGAAAGAAATGTATAGTACACAACATTCCATGGTAGAGTGCAGACAGCCTAACCATATGAGAAATACTAGAACAACATCTCTCTCAGTGTAGCCATTCAGCAAGGGTATGTGTGTTTCATGATTAGACATTTGCTTTCTGTGCTGGGAAATGAGGTTATGAGCAAGCAAAGAGCAGGAATCAACAATAGGTACCTCTCAAGTCCTAAACATACTTCTTTCAAATTTCTAGCCTACATTGAAAGAGTCATTAAAAAGATTAAAATGAAAAAAAAAAAAACCAATAGGTACCATATCTCTTCCATATTAAGCTCTCTCATTCCTTAATACCAGCAGTAGAATTATTCTATCCACATGGTCCTAGAAGTACCACTCAATGTTGGGCATGTTTGGAATATGGTTGACTTGCTAGATGAGTGTGGTCCATCCCTGTAGGTATAAGAGTATTAATGTTACACTTTCCAGCTCTTGTTCTCTGCTGCCAATATAATGCTTTTATGAGTAATAATGTTGTATCCTTTTATAAGTATGAAAAAAGATACACTGTGAACAAGACCATGTTTTTTCAAAGAAGAAATTTCATCATCACTTTATTGGAAGCATTACACTGACGACACTTTAAATGACCCAAAAGCACCATCAGGGAAGTGAATTTGATTGACCGAAGACTGTTGTTAGATAATAGAGAGAAATACATTTTGAAAACAAAACTGAAATATAAAGGCTACATTTTCATTTTTATATTACGGTTCTATTTCCAAACATTGAACAAATTCTTTTAAATGGGAGTCTTATTAATGTGATACAATGACAAGTTTGGGAGTATAAATTAAACTCCAGGCTGGTAACTCAAAACCTTAAAATAGTGATTCCTAGAAATAACATTGCAATTTTTTTTTTTTTTTGGAACCAGGGATTGAACTCAGGAACTTGTTCTTGCCAGGGAAGTGCTTATTCCACCAAATATTTTTATTAAGTCAAGTTCTTGTTTTCAGTATACCTGTAGCTTACCATGTAAGCACGTCTGACTTTTTAAATAAAATGTTAACATTTATGTCATAAATATGGAAATTCTCTTATACCAAGAAGAATGTTGTTTTAAAATCAATTTGCATTCCATTTTTATTTTATTTATCTATGTGTTTTTTTATTTATTTGATATAAGGCCTCACTACGCAGCTCAGACTTGTAGTAATCTTCCTGTCTCATCCTCCCCAGTGCTAGGATTACAGGCATGTGCCACCACGCCCAGGGTGCCAGGGCTGGCATGGTGCACCCAGGGTGCAGTACCAGGGATTGGACGCAGGTCCATGAGCTTGCCAGGCAGACGCTTAGACTGCAAGCTATCTCCCGAATGCCCATTTCTATTTTGAAAATAGTATTATAATATGATTCACACGTGGGAACACTTTACTACATAGAAAATATCTTTAGCTACAGTTGTATAATAAACTATTGATGGTGTGGGACTGTTTGTTAATAATATGTGGAGTGCTTTATGACATATTGATTACATTTATATGCACATATTTTCTCCAAAGACCTGTAAAGCTTATATACACAAAGCCCTTTTAATCGTACTATTATTGATTTGCTTAATAACCTCTCTCCATTTTTTGCTTTTAGTTTAAAGGAAATAGAAGTAAATTGTCACCCAAATGCTTTCTAAATGACTTCAATTAGTGGAGCCCAAATTCTTGGTGATTTACTACATATAGTGTGCAGCGTTAATAATACTCTTAAATAAATTTTCAATGATTTGCTAAAGAGACTTTCAGACATGACCATGCAATTTGTGCAGAGGTACTTCATTTCCCAGTTCCCTTGGAGATGAAAGCGCTCATCCAGGTTTAGTAATGCAATGCCTGACATTTGATAACAGCCTGCATTTGTGCAGCACTTTATCCCATCAGTGTAGAAGCAGAGGCTCCTGATAGCCCCACAAGGAGCCAGCCTCTCTCCATCTGTCATTTTCTCTCAATTTTAGGTCCCCCTTCTGTTCTAAGACTCTCTCAGAGAGCTGATTGTCACCAATTCTGCCTATGGCCTGAATGTCTCCAGGAGACAAGCCACTGAAGCTTTTCAAGCTATGTTCCCAAATCAATACCAATCTCAGAGGGCCAAGGGTTAAAAATCAGTAAATTCCAGTATGAAAAACTAACTAGCAGAAGAATGTATACCAAAGAAAAGGACCACTTCATTTCAAGATTTTCTAGTCCTTTCTGGACTGTGAGATCAGTACCAAAAGCTCAGCTACTGGCGGTGGCTTCTCTTCTCAATGGCTTCACTCCTCAGGATCACCTTCCACTGCATTTTTCTGAGGGAGAAAACTGGCTTTGTCAGAACAGGTGTGAGAATGAGACAGGAAGACAATGCTGTTCTCAGGGAGGAAGGGCTGTTTCACCACAGCGTCTGACCACACCAACCAAGACAGCAAGCAGAACTCTTCTCATCAGCAGGGTTCTCAGAAGCCCATCAATCACCTGTTTATATTTCTTTCAACAGATTTCACCCGTCACCTCTTTTAGAAGAAATACTTGTAAGAATTAACTTAGTGTGCTTTTTCATTAGAATAAAGAAACTATTCCTACCAAAAGTACATAGTTTTCATATAAGCACATTGAAGGATTAAAACCATGTTAAACTACAGTGGCTGTCAAAAGAATCAATTTCATGCAAGTCACTAATATTATATATCCGAAAGACTGTCAACACCTTTGTTTTCACCTTGAGTCATTGCACTGCTAACACGTAAAGCTCTCTTGCTTAATTCAATAAATTTAAAAGACCCTTTGATGCCCTTGTTTTTCCTTTAGGTCAGGAGCATTTCTAAGATTTAAAACTTTACAGCTTGATTCAATAAGCTCTTTATAAGAATAATGAATTATCTCCATGAAAGTAAATTTGTTGATCAATTTAGAAAATTGGAAGTAAGGTTTTGCATTTTGTGGTCAAAAGAGGTATACACAAACCCAGAACGTATACCATGCAGAGGGCATTAATAGATTCAGCTCTTACATAAGCCTTTAAAATGACTGAAAAAATTAAGTCATGTTCCATCTACTTGCCAGGCTGAGACATCTGAAACCCTAAATAGTGAAACTCAAGATTCAGAATTCAGGCTAACATGTGGTCTCCTTCTAGTTCCCACACAGAGGATGAAACACTTAACGATTTATAATTATAAAAATAGAAATACTCTCTCATCTAAAAATGGGCCATCTAAAGGAAATTAAGAAAGTTAGCATCACTTATATGGTGGGAGGGTATTGTAATTAGAATATTTAAACTTTCATTAATGGCCAAGGAAGAAATACAAAGTTGACCGACACCTTTTAAAAGCATGCATCTGCAGTTGCACTAAAAACTTTACAGATACTATTTTATTTAATTTCTATTTTAGAGCTAAGAAATCAGCTTCAGAGGAGGCAAACATATGGTTAATTACTTCAGTATCTTTATTTCTGCTGCTTTCTTGGACCTAGAAAATGCAACGTGTTGACAAGAAAGAAACACTTCTAGGAATATGGAATCAAGAGGTTCTGCTTTTGGAGTTGAGATGTAGTCATCTGGAGTTAGTGTCTGTCTCCAATGACTGGTCTCCTGAGGTGATGCCTTTAGAGGTTCCAGGCCGTCATCATCATGACAATAAAGTACACATCAGTGTCAATGGATGCACTCACGCCTGCATAGTAGTTCATGAACTCCTCCGGGGTCACCTGCAGTGGAAAAGTTTGAAACAAAAACGAAAAGTTTCTTCTCACCCTTGCAAGGGAAACCCATCTGCCATCCCTGTAAATAGAAGGGACGTGTCCAGCAAAGAGGCTTTGTGTGTGGCCATGACCGAGGACTAGAGCTAAAAGTAAAGAAAAAGTAAGCAAAATTGAGGATGGCAGTGAGAGTGGCTCAGGAAAGGAGAAAAGGTCTCGAAATCGTTCAAACCAGCCTAAATGGAAAATGAAACCCATGTTGACAACTTTTGTTTAAAAGCAGGAGTTCAGTGAGTAAGGCTGAAACTCAGAATAAGAAACAAGTGTTCTCTAAATGTAGTTAACACTGCTTTCCTGCGGCACAACAGAAATACGCAGTACCATCCATCAGCGTAAGTCATGTTCCACTTTTCAAAAGATGGGGTACCATCCTACTGGTAAAGCAAGAGATTTCTGGTCAACACGCCTGGTTTACATGCATTTCTAAGAGACAGGTTACTCATTCCAGGCTCAGAGTGAACAAAACATCTTGGGTTTTGCCTCCCACCCAACCCCAGTTCCATCCCCATTCTACCCCTATGACAGTTAATTTAAGATACCAAATAATGTATTCTCCTATCCAAGGATTTTATATTACTTTCAGATTGGAAAGAATATTTTGTTGTTTTGTTTTGTTTTGTTTTGTTTTTTGGGTATCAGAAATCAAACTCATGACCTCACACTTGCCAGGCAGACTTTGTGCTGCTTAGCTACATCCCTGGCTGGAAAGAATCTTTAAAGTTATGAAATTTGTTTTAACATTACTTTCTAGTTTTTCTGTTAAATATTATGCATAATTATGTATCTGACACTAAAATACTGTTTAATATTCTAAAAATACTATGAAAGCCATGTGTTAATAAGAGTAAGTGATGTACTTATTACAAGTCAGGACTGTTGTCTGACACAATTAGTTGGGTCAGGGGAAGAATTGTCCTCCTGAATAAGTAATCTCTATGGCTATCTTTGCTCCAAAATCAGAGCTTCTTATGTAGAAAGATGTGGCCCCAATGATGATGGCTGCTTGGGAAACTCTTGTTCTCTAGGGAGCCCACACATTACAGCACTAATATCACAAAGAGGGAACTCCATCAGTGACTGAAAACATCTTTCTAGTCTGTGGCAACACACTTTCCTCCTGCCAAGTCTTTGGGAGCATGCCCATCTCTTTCAAGAACAAGAGGAGCTCATTGATCCATTTCTTTGAGTTGAAATTATAAGTGAATAGAAAATAAAATTCCAAGATCTACAGTTTCTGTTCTTGGACTGCCCCACATACATACTGACCCCACAAAAGTGAAAGGCTTTAGGTAGAAGGTGCTAGACTCACTGAGCCAATTGTGGGGCTGTGCTAACCAGTGGTGTATAAATTCAGGAAGTAAAATATCCATAGAAGTACTTATTCTCCTTATAAAAGAATGTTCCACACAGCTCCTCTATAATAACTTTTTACATATTTAAACTTTGATTTGAAGCATAAAAGTTTTGCTCAATTTTCATATATATTTTATTTATATATTTAATAAATGCGATATCCCCAGAAAATTTTTTGGCATAGTGCTTAGTTAATGAGACTTCTGGAAAGATGGAACAATAAGCACTAACTCTTCTGATAACAACTTGGGGAAGAAAAATAAAATAGAGGTAGATAGTAGATTCCCAGCACGAAGGAAGGTTCTGAAAAGAAAATTGGAGCCCACAGAGAAAGTGAAGAGACAATCTCCAATGCAGAAAAATGAGAGAGCAACCTGTTCTTTCTCCACAGCACTTCAGTCCAAGATACTACTATGTCCCCAAGACAGTACTTAGTCAGTCATCACTTTGGGAAGGGGACACCTAAATCTGGGACTTGGAGTAGCCATGGGATGGGTTCATCCTAGGGCTTCCAATGTTGAAATCCCACAGTGACTGGGTAAGGGACAAATATGGAAGACATCTATGTTCAAGGAGCCATGGCCAGGCCAGCAAGAGATACCTGGAATGTTGTAGGCTAGATAACTCAGGCCCCAACTCCATGACCACAGGACAGGATCAGCCTGATCTTTAAATCTGAAAGTATTCTAGTCTAGTACCAAAGAACTTGCTGCTAAGCTATACAGGCAACAACCCTTCATCCCTAACAAATTGAAGAGGCAGGACTATAGAACAGATTGAAAAGCCAAATCTGAGCTATGCTTAGACAACATCTCTGAAAAGTAGCTATTTCTTAAAGAGGTCTCAATACCAGTAATAAAGTCACCTACCATAAACAATTTCTAAGCCTCAATGCAGAGATAATGCCTGGTTGATAAGTATCCAATCATTGTCTAGATTCATCCTTATGTTAAATGAGGCTCATCATTTTACTTTCAATAATTAAAAACAGGCATTTGTTGAGATTTTAGAGCTAAAATATCAAATATGAATGCATATAAGAGACAACTGTCACCATTATTCAATACATAAATCTTTGAGTTCCACCCCTTAAAAGTCATATTCTGTGGTTCCTCAGAGTATCCAGTAATCTGAATTATTTACATATACTTGACAATGGTGCTTCACAAACTGCAGAGTTGGGTCTGTGAAATTCAAGTGACATCAAATGCTGTAATTGTGAAAAACCTCAATAACCTTTTGAGAGATTACTGTGGCTGATTAAGATAAATGTCAAAAGGGACAGGAGGGAGGACTTCAAACCCTCTGAATCATAATCATTAGCTACTTTGACGTGAGTTAGAGAAAGAGGTAGCTAAAGTTTCCCCTAGCAGTGAAAAGGAACCAGCTGCAGGAGAAGAAAACATGCCCTGGGGTCCACACAGCATTAGCCTGGTTAGGGGAAAATAGCAATTGGCTACTTTTCCACTGATTTTTCAGAGATCAAAAACCAGCAATCTTAGTAGAAAGCACACAGTTCTAGAAATAAAGCTAGTTATTTCTAGCTAAGCATTCAGCTGCCCTACCAAATCTAGACCCCTTTTGCACAATTGCACAATTACTCAAGTTAAATTAGAAGGTACTTCTCCATCCCTTATCAGAAAATGTCAACAGGAAAGAAAGAAAGGTTTCTTTATAATAGGACCAGTCATAATGACACATGGAAAAAAAGTTGGGGGGAATTCCTTTCAAAATAGGAAGGGAATTCTGTCTTCTTCCTCAAATCACTACCTGTTCTTCCTGTCCACTGTCCCTGTTTCTTTTCTAGTGTGGCTAATGAGCTAAGAAATAATACACCCAGGGTTCTGCCACTATGGACTAGAGCTAAAGAAAGACCATCTTTCTTCCATCATCGTACCTCTTAAGTCACTCAACAGGCAAAACTGGTTTAGGTTTAAGAAAAGTCCACTTACGGGTGTTGAAAGACACATGACATTTCCATCTCAGCCTAGATGCACTGATGGAAGTATAATTCCATATCCTGCCAGGTTACGCCTTTGTAACTAACTATTAATGAGGATGGAGTGGTTGCTTTCATTTTCAAAAGAAATGCGGGTTAATCTTAATGATTACTAATGAGTAAGACGAGCCAAATTCTGCTGCTTGCCACTCCCTTTGCCAAAAGCTGTCTTTAAAAGACATTCGTGCATAGCAATGTGTGATGACAACCGATGCTGCAAAGAATAAAGGTATGTTGTGAATCTGTTGCAAAAAGTCAAATTGTGGTCTCATTTTGAAGTTAAAATATTTTATCATAGTTTCATTTTGGGGAGTGTGGCTAGCCAAATCTGCTGAATGTGGTAGTCATGACATGGAGTGTCTAATCAAAGTATCACATTTTCCACAGGATGAGTACTCAGCAGTATGTGGACCCCCCTACCTACATACTGTATGTGCCTGCGTATGTGTGTACGAGTCACATATTTTATTACTCTAGTTATCAACTCTCTAGATGACCTCTACATAAATATTTTGTTTCTATTTATAACAAATATGACATTGATACGTTGAAATCTTTAAGGATGTAGATACATTTCACATTTACAATTCAAGTTAAGTAGGAGAAATTTTATTTAAAGATTTTTTTTTAACTTACCAATCCATCTTTGTCATAAGGTGAATCAAAATTATCCAGAAACTTCCTGAAGACTTGCTCTTCTGTCCATTCTCCATTTTGGTATTTTGGGTGGTGTTTCGCATTGTATACTCCACGCAGATCCTCAATGGTTATAACGCCATCTCCAGTCTTGTCTAACTTTCTAAAAGCTCGCATAATTACCTCTTTTCTGGCTCTAGACATTGGAGGCTAGATAAACAGAACAGCACATACACAGACATCATAGTACCCAGAGAGCACACACGCACACAAGTGAAATGTCCTCATCTCGTATGCCATAACACTTCTTACTCCCCTCAGTGATGTGAAATTGTTTGTGTGCTGCTAAAGGAGATGAATTACGATTGCCCCACATGTCTCAGTCGTCTCTTGCACACCCCCTCCACAGTGTACTGACAACCACTGAAAACAAAACCTCGTAATAGCCAACGCAAACCACGTGAAAGCCAAACTCACCAGATAACACTGATTCACACAGCCACTTACTCTTAATGTGAGAAGAAATTCATTAAAGTCTATGGTCCCATTTCCATCTTTATCGAACCTGCGGAAAAGTTCTTCTGCCTCTTCCTTTTCCATGACCACTGCATAATCGTTTAACCCTTTCAGAAATTCATTGAAATCAAGGGTCCTGTTTTTATTGTCATCCATAATTCGAAACACTCTGAAGAAAATACACAGAAAAAAAATAAACACAAAGAACAAGGTGTGGATGGAAAGATTTAAATAAAAACTCTCAAAGATTTATTAAAGGTAAATATAGCACCCCTACTACTAAAATTGGTGAGCCTCTTCCCAGCTTCTTATAAAGAAGAACAAACTTTTAAACACACACACAATTACACTGTATGGTTCTAATTACCTGACATGTGCTATACCCTGAATGCCTCTAGATGGCCCACAGGTTCAAAGGCCTATACACCAGCCTACAGTGCTATTGGGAATCAGTGGTGCCCCTGGGATGTGGAGCCTCGTGAAAGGTTAGGCTCCTGGGGAGGTGAACCTTTGATGCTCTGGCTCCATTTTTACCCTTGTTTCCCACCTGCTGTGAGATGAGCAGCTTTGCTCAACCACGTACCCCCCACTATGATCTATTGCCTGAACCACAGGCCCAAAAGCAGTGGAGTAAAGTGAATGGGAGCCTAAGAAACTGTGAGTCAAAACACACCTGTCCTCCTCATAAGTTGTTCATCTAAGGTATGCTCTTAGAGTACTGCAGAGGTAACAACAACGTGACACCCAACATTGTGAATAGACCCAAGAAACCCAAAGCTTTTCCTTCTCCCAATTAAAGTAAAGCAGAAAACATAGGTAAGGACATGGGAAGACCTACTTTATTGTATCTTTAAATAAAGTTTGCAGAACCTAACATACAGTGTCAACATAGCTTCTGTTTTTTTAAGCATATGTCCCCTGAAAGCTTAAATGTATAGATTCTGTTTCAGCTATAGGAAGCTGGCTTTATCATCTCCATCTATCTAATCATCTCCAGACGAGCGTCCCCCATTCTTTTCTATGAGAGAAAGAATACGTCCTCTGATTAGGTTTAATTGTAATGTGTAAGTTCCTACCATCAACCTCATTATACCCTATTATCTTATTCTTTACCACATATGCCTCCTCCTCCACCACTACCCTCAGAGAAACCCTGAGAATTTTCTATTTTGTTGACCTTCTTATAGGTAGAAAGAATTCCCAGTAAGAACCCAGGAATCCAAGGTGTGAATTCCAGTTTTAGTATTAAAACTAAACTTGGGAGGTTGGGGAGATAGTGCAGGGGTCTAAGTGCCTGCCTGGCAAGTGCAA